AAATCGCAGAGAAGCTATGCGTAATCCAGATAATACGAATCGTCATGCGTTTGGGGAGGGGCCATGGACCCCATGGCCCCCCTCTGGATCCGCCACTGATGTCGGCCAAAAATTTCCTAGTCCAGATAATATGGCACTAGAACATTGGTAGACAAAATTACTCAATTACTAGTATTCACCAACAATCTATGGTATTTACGTGTGGCAATTTTAGTAGCAGTGAACCCCCGAACTGATTCATAGAATAGGCCGAGGTCACTATATTATTAGTTCAAATTAAAAGCCATAGTCGCCAAGGAATTCTTACCGGAGCAGATCACAAACATAGTTTTCAAATTGTTTGTCATTTCGCGTAAAAATAGCAAACATTAAAAAAACAGACCTGGGCTCGAATTGACCCAAGCTTGATTTCTTAAAAAAAACTTCTCCAATTCACCCGAACTATGTTTATAGCATAACGAACTACGGGAATCAGTCATATTTTAACCAACTGTCGCTCATAAAAACTTGTAGCCCGCGGTGAAACACAAACAACGACAAAGGTGATTTCTCCGTTCCGTGGATTTAACACTGCTTCAGGGCATAACTTCAGCACGGTGTCTTGACTGACCTTTCGTATGAGTGAAACCATGTCAAAAATTAGCGGTATAGTTTCGTAGACAACTATTACGTAATTAAAAAAGTAGAATATGCCGGCAAATTACCGGCAACTGACCTAATACATGGAATGTATTACGTCGACTGACCTGTCTGCCAATTACTTACGTCATTGACCCACGGGTCGGCGCGCTGACGTAGGCACAAGCCTGTTGTATCTGCTTTGATCAGGTTCTTACTGGTATTTCTTACACGGTCTTCGTCGTTTTCGACCGTGGGAAGTTATCTCCGAATGTCAATCCGTATCACGGAAACAATCATGGGCTTAGAACCAGGTGTACCTCCGGGAACTATTGTGGATACACAATTAGATATGCATGGATTTAGGATCAATCCCCACTATATGTTGTTATACGCGCGAAATATCATACCATGCTGGTCGGTATTTTAGTAATGGACACCTCCTTATTTTAAATCATGTGGACGACGTTTTTAAAGTGCTTTCCGTATAGTGGGAATTGCGCTCTAGCATGGACAATATTGGAACTTAAGGAGGTTACAATCTTAGTATTTCCACGATGATCTATTTGGGATATACTTGCCTTGAAGAAAGTTGTAACATGACTGACAGTGTCCGTGGAGAAATAAATATTAAAATGGTACGCAGAGTCGAAGTACTGAGTCAGTAAACTGTGTTACACTGGCGGGCATGTCCGTATTCCATGGTCCGTTTAGGATTATGATGACTTCATGTGCCACATGTTTTACAACTGGGTCATTTTAATAACTTGAAATCCATGGAATATTATTGATCAATGCCGGTTCAAAACTTGTCAACAAAGCTTTGAACTTGACGATGTCACTCTAGTAAACAAGCCCAGCATGAAACGAGGAGGTAAATAACTTTACAGATGAGTGTGAATATTACTCAATTTGTGGAAATGTGAGTATTTTCAATGACGATCGGACTGAAACAAACTTGAATTTGAAACTCAAATTAACCCGCTGAGTCACAAACTCGCCAAGCATTTGGTCACGGTTTCCGGGTCACGGTTCTTTGTAATGGAAATATTTGAATTTAGTAGGAAAACATCGTCGTATTCTGGGGTGTCAATGTTGAGCGTAATCAGAGGGAGTAAACACAAATTTAGGGAGTAGGGAGTAGTTTGTGTAATATAGTCTCTGCCAGTATTTATCTTCTATGGTTCGACGTTTACTGAGTGTATTAATTTAAATTAAAGGAACCCCAACACACACAAAAATGGCGGTTATTACACATCATAGTACTTAAAGGGGTAGCTGCGAGTGCCTGGGATTACACCATAGCCACATAAAATATCTGATCTGGTGCATGCATTGCTTGATTTCTCAAAGATATTATGTCCAATGCCTCTGCAAAAACACTAACAAATATCATGGTGCTCAGTTGACCTTTCTTGCGAGTGAAACCATGTCACAACTTAACGGTATAGTGTCGCAGACAACTATTACGTAATTCCAGAAGTAAAATATGTCGGCAAATTACCGTCGGATACCCTGTTTGTCGATTACAACGTCATTGACCCGCAGGTCACCGCATATCACCAGGGAACCACAATGTGATTGTTGTGAATTGTATTATAAGCTACAAGCTGTAGCCTATTATAAGCGATACGCTGACGTAGGCACAATCCTGTTGTATCTGCTTCGATCTGGTTTCTACTGGAATTGCTTTCATTAGCTTCGTCTGTCGACCGTGGGAAGTAGTCGCAAAATGCCGACCCGTAGTATAAAGGGTTTGAAAACCAGGTGTACCTTCGGGAACATTCGTTCACCGATGCCTACTAAGTTCACCGTATTGTGGATATATTTAAATGTATTATCAGTTACGGCTTATACCGATTACATCTGGAAAATGTCATATATTGCTAGTCTGTATGATAATAAGGGAACAGCTGTCCGTATATTGAAATGCTATCCGTATAGAAGGAATTAATGACATCCTAACATGGAAAATATTAGAACTCACGAGAGTTCATGTGCTTGGAGGTCACAATTCTATTACTTCCACGATAAAGCTAATTCGGATAGTAGCCTTGAAGGAAGTTGTAACATGGCTGACAATGTCGATGGGGAAAAAAATAAATGGCACGGAGACTCGAAGTACTCTGTCTGTCAATTGTGTTACACTAGCGTGTATGTCCGTATTCTGTAGTCTTAGGGTTATATTGATGTCACGTGACACCGTTGTTACATTCATGTTATATCAATAATTTGAAATTTATGTAACATTTTTTTATCAGTGCCGGTCCAGTATTTGTCAACAAAGCTTCGAACTTGACAGAGGGTCGGCAAGGGGCATATTCGTAAGCTGTAATCAATTGTTTTTATTTTCGAAAAAATCATGTATTCAAGTTTTAAATAAATAAAAGAAACGTAAATTCAAGACTAGGGCAAGGCGTAAAATGTAATCCGCTATTTTATTCGTCCGTAATTTGAACAAAGATATTATTTTTTTCAGCGTATAAAGCATTTTCCAAATTAAATGTCGTAATTCGTACGCTATTTCCAATTTTGACTCTTAAACTCAAAATTATCAAAAATATTATAAAAATGTGAAATGTAATTAGGAATTTGCTTTAACTGTATAGTGTAAACCGCTATTTGTAAATGTAGCTTTTTTTATTTCCTGTAAAAACGTAAACTGCCGTTTTTATTCCCTGTAATCTGTACCTTTGCTTCCCTCTTGACAATATCTCATGCCGTAAATAACTGAGCTACAGTTTATCGCCTCGTGGGAAACAAGACTATTGTTTTCACGTTTTTTCGGTATAATAATTTATCAATATAATATGATATCATAAATAATTTAAACATTAAAAACTCAATCATTCAGCTAACAAAATCGGCGCGCATCTGTGACTTGTCCCGTAATACAACATTATTAACATAACGGTAGTAAAATGCTAGTTTTCCATTACACATTATTTCAGTATTGTAATGGTATATTTCTGGTACGGTGTTGTATGTGCCCCCATGTAACATAGAGGTAGTTGGTTTCCACATGTATGCATTATTTCAGTATTTGAGTTGTATATTTCGGTTCTGGTGTGAAACGTACCCCCCCCCCATGTAAGATAGAATTATTTGTTTTCTACTTAGTACGTGTAATGCATTATTTTAATATTGGAGTTGTGTATTTCGGTTCTGGTGTGGTACGTACCCCCCCCCCCCCTCATATAAGATAGAAGTATTTGTTTTCCACGTATACGCATTATTTCAGTATTGGAGTTGTGTATTTCGGTTCTGATGTGGTATGTGCCCCACACCATGTAACATAGAGGTATTTATTTTCCCTGGGTATGCATTATTTCAGTGCTGGAGGGGTATTTGCTTTCCCATCAGTAACTAGACTCGAGACCTCAACGGTGTCATAATGCGATACGACAGCGTCAACCAAAACGCACAGATTTCTCACAAACGTACGTTGCTTCCTTGCGCTGCATTCAGTTCACTTAGTCTAAATACATCCAAAAGAATATAATATAATATTAGATCTGTTATGGATTTCATTCGTTATTTACACGGAGCACTCAAGGTACGTCGCTTATTGTGCTTCCAACTAATTTGCATACAATGAAATACCGGAGTTAACTTGTATTGTCACATATGCAACACTACAACACAATACGAAGTCCAATGCTCAAATTCATACACGTTACGTTAGTGAGTGATTGAATATAATTAAAGAGGAACAACTTGTATGGAGAAGAAATCAATCACTATTAGTCTAGTGGTTGCATCGAATACATGATCTCAGCCTTGACTTGACTTAAATCCCGCCGGGGGTTGAACACCGTGACCACAGCAGGAGTCAACTCCCGGCAACCCGGTCGAGTGTGCCTCATACTCATGACGGAGAGACCAGATTCGTTTAGTAACCGATGCGACTCTGGTCACCTTGGTACCTTAACAGACAGCCAATTCAGTGAGCGTTTTATTTTTTTGACATTTTGTTTTGAAAAACATGAAATATTAGGGGAGTTCATAAATGGCGAAAACCGGGTTATCGTTTCATTTACACTCCTATAATATTTTATTTTATCGAAAAAACACCGAAAAATAAACAACAGACTAGTTTAGTCTCCTGAATGTCAGTGGCGGATCCAGAGGGGGGCAGGGGGGCCATGGCCCCTCCCAAACGCATGACGATTTATATCATCTGGATCACGCATAGCTTCTCTGCGATTTCCGCTCCGTATATCTTAAGCGAAGCTTGGACCCCCCAATACAATTTGCTGGATCCGCCACTGGTGAATGTCCCACAATTAAAAGAATATTGCATGCTAAATTTGACATGATATAACAACAACATAGGAGTCGGGTGTGTTTTCATAATTTGAAACGCACTATTTCATTAGCGAGTTTAAAGAAAATATTTGCACATAACAACAACCGGCATTACGTAAATCTCTCTCTGATGGGTTTGCTCATTCAGTTTAATCTCAGATAACAATATTGTTATTCGAGGTTGAATCAAGAACCGAGTAAAAGGTGACGTCACTGTCTGGGCTTCTGTATACTTGTAAATGTCATCATGATTCACAATAGCAATGTCAGGGAGTGCGCATGCGCTGAAAGTGGTATCATATAAACAAGTACAGCCTACGTGCAGTTCTCAAGACAACGACGATTTGCGCTGACTGAATGGGTGACCTTAAGTTCAAATGAGTTCAAGGTTGATTTAGCCCTTATCAAATGAATCATGGAAAGTACATTATTTGATATTATGATTTGTGTCCCGGTTAACGTGGGCAATGTGACCTATTAAATTTACCGGTTATACTGTATCTCCGCTGCTTCTTTGTCGTGACTCGAGTTTCGTCGCACGTCATAGATATAAACTCACGTGTTCATTGGCATCAAATGTTATGGTGATATGGTAGCTTATTGGTGAGTCTATAAATATTGGTTACAATTCGGAAAATAATAGGCAATGATTTCTAACGCACGAGAGGGTTCATCCAGCCGCATACCTCAAGTCACGTAATTGTAGGTTATTAAGTATATCGCCTCCCCTCGTACGTAACGGCACACCTCATTGAGGTTTATAGTTAGCGGTGATCGAATACAGCATACCGATCTAATATAACTGTAGCTTACAAGATATATATAAATCTTAACTACCAGCTCGAACCGTTTCATTTCATGAATCGCCAGATCAGCTGATTCGTTAAATGTAAACAGTCAGCATCGTTATAAATGTAAACACATCATGTGTTTAATAATATAGGTCAATTACTAAACCAACTTGAACTCATAATATTTCAAAATATGTTTTTGAATGAATATTCCTCAAAGTTGATCTTAATGTCGATGTTTCGTATTTCCGAGTAACGCACGATCATGATACTAGTATTTAGCTGCATGATTTTGTTATATCATTTAAAATAAAATTCTGAAATACAAAAAAAAATATTGACGGCAGACAGTAGGAACAGAAATAAACTAGCAAAAAATCCAGCTCAAACCAGAATATGTTTACCGGTGTTTTGATCAGCTGCAGTACTCTGACCCGTATGTAACCTAGTGCGTAGTCACTTAATATTCATTCGTCAGAGGCGAGCCCATATATGGCGACGCCTGATTGGTTTTTAACGTCAGGTGGTTATCTACTCATCCACTGATTGGTTGATTCAGGAGGTGTGTCATAGGCTTGGTTATAGGCTGTCCCTTTTATCGGCGTCACGTAGCTTAGCGATTCATTTCTCTCAGGCTGCCGCCAGGACATCATATCTTTGGGAATTATTCTACGCTACCTATACTTCGGGTTGTTTTTTCCATATTTGAAATATCTCCCCGACAGTTTCACGCAAGGTAATTTTTGTTTTATTTTACTACGCTTTCTGACTCAGTGTCGCCTCCCGCTTATCACAGCCACTGGAGCTTATTTCCACTCGCAGAAGACACCGTTCGTTTTTTGTGTTTTTTTTAGACTCGACACGCAATAAATGTTTATTTTATTTTATTTTATTTTAATACGCTTTCTGTCTTATTATCGCTTTGTGTTCTTGTAATTTCCACTCGCAGAAGACACCGTTTTTCTTCTTTCATTTTCGAACAAACACATTTGACGAGTTCGGCAACAATTTCGTCACTTTCATTTTTTTCTGCATTTGGAGTGAAACGCTATCATTTAGGACGCGGCACGTCGAGTTCCCCACTTCAGTACCGTGGCACATTAACAAGTACAAACTCCGATTAAAATTTAGAATTATGCTATAAATATGTCGTAATCAATTGAGTCGAAATTATCGTATTTTTTCTCACAAAGACATCTGACTCGGGAGGAATATTGTCTTAGGGTGACTCCTGTCATCACGGCATGGATTGACTCATTAATATTTGTGTCCTCTGCTGACGCCCTATTTCCTGAACACCGCACCCGCATCGATTTCAAAGTAGTGCCATGGTGCTCTCACCTTGTCCACTTGCACCAACTAACCCCTGTGGTATTGACGAGAAATGATAATATCAATTGACAACTTGAAAAACGCCGAAATCGCGACAATTTTTGGATTATTTTCAATTCATATTTTTCTCCGTCGATGAAAAAAGAAAAAAACTTCAAATCTACACGTACAGAGACAAAATTTGGGTTTTTTCCACATCGGTCGACGACCGAGAAATCGTGACGTAGACCAAGGTAATTTCCTATCATATAGTGGGTGTGGTCAATTCTGCTCGTATGATTGGCTATTTTGCTGATGCGTGAGCATCAGCCGTTGAAAATAACCTGCCACTCAAACGTGTTTACGTTCGTTTCAAACGAGAAGTGCGCATGCGCGACCAGTGAATGTTGTTGATTGTGATGCGAATATCTAACCCGTATAGCGACGGGTAGTTGAAAAAAATGACTGGATTAAAAAACAACCAGACCACTCAAAGGAACAGACGAGCGAATAAGTCAATGTCTGATATTAGCAGTACTCTAACTTCCCTAAATTGATGTGTATTGTGCAATAGCAGTGAGTCATCATACAACCACGCAGTATTGCGTCATCTGACCTTGCCTCGCCGTGAATCAGTGTAACGCTTCCCTCTTTGTGTCATAGGTCGTTAATCAGGACCGAATAAATCACACGACGCACAATCAAAGTCATATAATGTATCTGTCACAGCTGTTATTTGACAAAATTACATTTATGAAAATATAAAGAAACATTAAACTGAAAATAAAATATGCGCGAGGCCATCCTATTAACATATTTTGCTTAAAATTAAATTAAGAAATAACGACAAAAATAAAATAAAAATACAATTAAAACAATGATAAAATAAGTATAAGTGGGGGAAAAATTATGGCCTCGCGATAAAATATGGTGTGTTTTTTTCGAAAATATTTGAACGCGACGGAACAAACTTATTAGGTGGTATAATGTTGCTTGACTGCAAAAGTAGTGGTCACGTGACCTAACCCCTAATATTGTCAAATTCTGCGAGTTGTTAAGTAATATATCGACTGAGGACGATGTGCTGGCCTCTAAGATAATGTACAGTAGTAGCCTGTACACACAAAAGAAAGCGAAAAAAACTTACTGAACTCAGACATGAAAAAGACAATTTATATGAGAAATCACTGTCCACTTATCAGTTCTGAACCTATGGAACATGTGTGATATGTATTATAATGTTTGTATCTTACAGAATATTTCATGGCTAAAGTGCACACCCGCATCTTGATCAGGGTTCATCCATTACAACACTCGTTCTCTAACGACATTCAACAACTCAGTTTGTTACGTTACCATAGAAACTACTACTCTGAGGACGACTTTAGGGAAAGTTGCGGTATTACGTTATCCCTAGAGTTTTGAGTGTCCATGGCAATTGAGAGAGACCGTTTTTATTAAGGTAGGCATCCATGGCGACAAATACAATCACGTGTTGTCAATGATCTGAGTCACATTGTTTGCATTCCTTATTTGTTTTAGTACATGGAATGTGTTATGTCTTTCAATTATTTATTTTAATCAGTCTGTCAACATTCCTGAATGCAATGTACGTTGACAGGATAAGTCTATTTCTACTGTACTAACGTTATGTTTTTGTTTCGTTTTTCCAGTGTTTTTTTTTTCAGTTTATATTATTTCAAAAGTTCTTGCCGTTTGCAATTTATCTTATTTACAAGTCAAGTTTTTAACTCAACGTTCAAAATGCCTGCTGAACAGCCAACCATTGGAGTGAAGTTTGTCTGTGCCGGAACTGCTGCCTGCATGGCTGATATGATCACTTTCCCATTGGACACTGCCAAGGTTCGATTACAGGTGAGTACGAAACGCGAGCCGCTCATTGCTGTACGGACAAATCGTTAGAATAAATTTGCATACTAACATAGCATTTATTAAACATTGCCTGGAAGTACACCAAATCGATGCATGTTTCCTGGAACCGAGTTTCCAAATGACCAATCTTACTTTGTTTTCATTTTTCAGATTCAAGGTGAAGGGAACAAGAAAATCACGGGGTCTATCTCTAAAAGTATTAATAAGCCAGTAACCGAAGTGCGTTACAAGGGTGTGTTTGGTACCATCTCTACCATCGCCCGTGTTGAGGGACCACGTGCTCTGTACAATGGCGTCAGTGCTGGTCTGCAACGTCAAATGTGCTTTGCCTCTATTCGTCTCGGCCTTTACGACTCTGTTAGAGGGTTCTATCAAACCACCATTTCCTCAGGTGAGTGTTGCCAGTGGTAGGTTCCAGAGGAGCCATGAAATGTCTTTTTATTATTGCAAAATTACAATGCACTTTCTGAATACAATTTATAAACTGGTTTATTCAAAGAATCACAGGCTTTAAAACATCGTCTAAACATTTGCTCATTATCTTGGTTACAGATCTCCCAGGGTTTAATGTGGTGACGCGAATTCTTGCTGGCATGACAACTGGGGCCACCGCCATCTTGTTTGCCCAGCCGACCGACGTGGTTAAAGTTCGTCTCCAAGCTCAGAACAAAGCTGGTGGAGCAAAGAGATATTCTGGAGCGTTCGATGCATACAAGAAGATTGTAAAAGCGGATGGTGTTAGAGGATTGTGGCGAGGTGAGTCGATTAGAAACTCTGAATGCACTCTTTCGATTGAACATTCTTTTGCCAGTCGATTTAGAGAAACTTTATTCAGGATATTAACCTATCATCGATGTCTCATTTGTTTAGGTACCCTCCCTAACATCGCTCGAAATGCAGTGATTAACTCTGCTGAGTTGGTGGTATATGACCTCACTAAAGAAACTATTATTAAACGTCGAATCCTACCAGATAGTTTGCCCTGTCATTTCGCCTCTGCCATCTTTGCTGGATTTGTAGCCACATGTGTCGCCTCACCAATAGACGTCGTCAAGACCAGGTTCATGAACTCAAACCCAGGCCTGTACTCTGGAGCTATTGACTGTGCTGCTAAGATGTTCAAAGAAGGTGGAATAAAGTCATTTTATAAAGGGTAAGTATTTCTTGTCCAAGCACTTCAAATACTCATACAAGAGAAAAAATATTCAGGCATGGAAAGACTCAAATTAAGTGTTAAATACTTGGAAATTTCATTTTCTTCTCGATTTCATTCCAGGTTCATTCCTTCTTTCATGCGACTTGGATCATGGAACGTCTTCATGTTCATCTTCTACGAGCAACTGAAGAAGAGAGTAATGGAACATAAAAAACAACAACGAATTCAACATCAGAGGACTCAATTTGCCTAACAGTCCAACAGACCTGACACCGACTGTAACAGTTTGTAACACTCAAAGAATTTGTGGGAACACTGAACTTATGTTTGAGGAGGAAATCGTCAGATTGTCTAGGACCTTGGAAGTGATCAGTTGGGCGACTTTGATATGAGGTCGACCTAGAATCAATGCTACGCCCGGATACAAATCTTCAATGTGCACTGTAAGAGAGATTGTGTCTCTATCGTAAACTTTTTTTTCGGATTCTCCTCTCGATACGACCAACCTGCTTCATAATGTCTAACATTGATACTTACATACGGACAAATCCACTGACCAATGTTGTCTTGGCATTTTATAAAACAAAACTGACCTACTGTGTAACAATGTACCTTGCAAACGGTACTTGACAAACATTGAAATGAGTTCTGCTGTGTTTGTATTTTTTCTAAAAAGTTCTCTTAGATATTTTTCGTTTCCTCCTTAAAGGACATACCACATTTTCAGTCGTGTTTTAGGATATTTTCAACTAATTATTTTGGATCAATTATATCCCCATATTTAGTAATCATGGTTTCTAAAAAGAATGAAAATGAGAGTAAACCAGAAACGGAAACGTTATATTACATGTATGCGTAGATGTTAATGTATAATCTAGGACCAAACAGCGCATGCGCAATGAATGTATTATGATTTTTCAGTTTCTTGATGGGGAAGGGGGATTACAATTCATTGTTTAGATTTTATTTCTGCTCGGAATGCATAATGGGAATGTTTACCACCCTGCAATATAAACATCAGTACTCAGACTGAATTTGCTTCTGTCGCAGAGTTGTTTGCTTTGATGTACAAGCCCACAACTGCCTGGCCTCTATAAAACGTTGGCATTATCCAAGCGTTCACAATATTACACGATGTGTCATGTGAGTCTTAGATTACCAAACCGGTTACGTAAACCAGGAGGGTAATACAAATGGCAATCTTTTTTAAGATCTATACCACATGGAATACGATTTAGCTCTGGCTTTTTTTGAACTTGTGCTAAGTGTAAATAATTGTTTTTGTAACATAGAAGCTCAATATTTTTTACCTAAAACGCTACAGAAAGTCGTGTAAATAAACATTTACATGTTTGAAATGTTCTATTTTGTAAATTAGTCAATTTATAATTTATTATATGGAAATGAAAATAAAATGGAAATTATGTAAATTGAGTGTGACCGACAATGTGTCCTGTGCTACCACAATCCACAAGAACAAAACAACTGACGGTTTCACTACACTGTGCTGCACAGTCAAATCACAGGGAAAAGATATATGGACCCTGTGATATTCGTGAAACTGAAGTCAGGTGTTTCTGGAAGAGTTGCCACTATCTGCTCCACATGTGTCACCCGCCATATATCTTTCTCAGTCGTAATCAAATAGTTTCTGTTTGATCAGAGTATCAGAGGTTTTGACCTCAGGATGATCCAAGCCTGATCCAATCCTGTCATATGAATAAGATCACACCGAGAAGTCACGAACAAAGTCATACCCCGAAGCCAATCATATGAATGAGGTCACATCTAGGGTTTATACCCTGAATCCATTCATACGAATAATGTCACACAAAGTCATATCCTGACACGGATCATATGAATAAGGTCACCCCAACGGCTCATACCCCGAATCCCATCATATGAATAGGTTTACGCAAATTCATATCCTGACAAAGATCATATGAATAAGGTTACACATAGGGCTCTTACCCAGAATCCATCATATGAATAGGGTCACACATAGGGCTCATACCCTGAATCCAATAATATGAATTAGGTCACACAAAATCATATCCTGACACACATCATATGAATAAGGTCACACACAGGGCTCATACCCAGAATCCCACTAAATAAGGTT